TAATTATTTACTCTGCCCTAATAGCAACACACATGTAGCTGCTGACATTTTACTGTGGAGCTAATTAGGCAACTGCAGTAAATGTCTTATGTGGATACACCCTTTGTGAATAAAAGAAAAAAGTGTCTATACCTTTTTTAACCTAATTCCCCAATCTTTACTTGTATGAGAGCTCCTATTAGAACACTGGGATTACCATATAAATAAAGGCTGTGAGGTCGTATTGTGGGTCTGCTCTCTCTAGCAGCATGAGAAATAGTTTACAAATGTTTACAGATGAAAAATCCACATTTGTTTTTTCCCCTCCACTGTAAAGTGCTGTTTCATTATGTTACAAAATAGCCACTGATCATTCCAAATAAGCTTCAAACCATGTTATATCAAAGGCTAATATTGCATGTTCACTATAAAGTAATAAAAAATAATTTCACATTCACAGTAGTCGTGTAATGCCAGGAAGGTTTTTCACTCTCATAAGAGAAATGGAGATTCAAGATTCAACAGTATTTTAAACAATATGTTTAAAAAAAGAGAAAAGATTCAGCCATAAAATTGCAGTCAGCCATCTCAAAAGAGACTACTAAGAACAAGAATTTCTACTACGTACATATTTACATACATACATACAAAGTGAAAATAAGTCAAAGTAAATACTGTGAAATGATGACAGTTCCCACAGGTACTGAACTCTCCTGTAGGGCCAAATCCTTCTTCTAAAGATACTCGGAGCTTTACCATTGACTTCACTGGGAGCAGGATTTGACCCTTAGGGTAAGTCTCCATTGTTTCCTCAGCACTCTCAGGAACACCAGTGAGAAGCATGACCCACACACCTACTCCTGCTGTGCAGGTGCCAAACCCAGAAATGAGACAAAAGCAGGTGGGTAGGATATGGCTTTTGGCAGCACTCTTGAGAGTGCCTCAGAAGCAGCAGAGACATTCTTTGATTTGGGTCAGCTATCTGACATAAAAGGTTGACACATCATCAGTCCCTTCTCAGACCCTACTGAAATGTCCTTCTTTCCTCCTTCCTAGCTAGATATTTCTAGTATTACTTGTAGAGTGATTTAATAGCTAGAACATGACGACTTCCAGCCAGCTTTGAAAATGCAAAACAATGAACAGTCACACAATACCTCCTGATAGCTCTGAAATCATGTTTTCACCTGAACCTGTCTAAGATATCCTGGTGATCAAGATGTTGACAAACATAACTATTGATGCTGCATGTAGTTAACCTATCACTGCAAGTATGAATATTAATTATATTATTTTAAAGGTGCTTTAAATTATAAAAGCATGGTCCCCATCCTAGCAGGTGTCAAGCATCTACAGTTCCCACTGATGCCAATTGAAGCTGTTGGTACTCAGCATGTTATGGGATCAATGTTATAGAGCATGCCAGCAGCATCACTTAACTAGGTTGTGTAATTGTAGCCCTGATTTATGAAACATGTTTTGTGCAAACAATACTGGAAGATCTGCAAATTCAGCTATGCAAACAAAGCATCATATTGTTCCTTTTAGCAGAAAGATAAGATCATTTTTTATACAAGTACCTCAGCTGTGTCATACAGAACATCTCTCTCACTTTTCCCCACAAAACACTCAGTGCCTATCTAGGTCTTGGAATCAAAAACTGTCAATCACCTCATCTGTACTATTTCATGAAAAAAGAAGACCAGGTGCATAGTATTATTTTGTTCCACTGTGGTTTAAATCTCTTTATATGGATTTTAGTCTTGAGGATACCTATTTAAAGTTTTAATAACCCAAGTTTAAAAGATTTGGGAAGAATAACTTTCTAGCAGTGGAAGGTAATGTGACAAAATCCCTTCTACACTGAACAGTGGTAACTACATTTTAGTATGTGTTCAAAGGAATGCTTTTTAATTTGACACTTCAAAGCCATTTAGAAAGTTCAAACAATTTGTCCTACATATAATTCACACAGCCATAGAAAAAGTGATTCCAGCTCAGTTGTATTTAACAGATGACCTCAAATCCTGTTACCTGTAAATATTAGTCCATATAAATTCTACTAAGATCTGACTACAATTAACTCGAGTCAGATTAAAGAAACCCAAAGCACTGCATGTCAAATTGAATGGTTATAGTAAAAAACACATCAACTGTTTAGTAGGAGACATGGTAGGTAATTGTTCAACCATACAAGATGTGGTCTATTAAGATGTGGTCAGTTAACAGTGCTGATCAGTTTCTCCACTTGCAGTATTTTCACAGTTCTCCAAGTCATTCTCGTGACTGATAGAATAAAATATAACCAGATTCTGAATTTTTTGATATATCAGAGGTCAGACCATAGAATTCTTCAATAGCTTGAGCATCTATTTTCTGCAAAAATAGACAGAGGTTTTTTTAAATACTTGCTGGGAACACAATACTAAGCATGGATTAAATTGATCTCAAAATGCAAAAACAATTGTGTAATTATATGCCTTAGGGTGATGAATAGCAAGCTTTGTTAGCAATTCACGAAGTACAAACTTTTTTTTAATGGCTTAGAAGCCAAATTCTTCTAGCTTCAATCACTGAAGTCAATGGCACTGCTTGTTTGAGTAAACTGAGTGGGGTGTGCCTCTAGGTAGAGAAGCATCCTTTACATAAATGGAGAGATTCTTTCCTCGTTAGACAATAGCAAACATAGGTACAAAGAGTAAATATGATTTAAGGTTTCTATAAAAGGGGAGAATAATCCTAAACACATTGAACTTTGGTTTTCTCCAGAGGTACTCTAATTCTTCCTTTTCTTCAGTTTTTTCAAGTTACTGAAATCCAAAATTTGCCATCTTTACTGACATTTAGGCCTACAAGTTTTACCACTGAAATCAATGGACTATTAAAGAAGTTAAATACCGGCTGTCAGTAGAGATGAGGCAGAAATTGGCTCAGAGCAGATTTGGACACTATTCCTTGCAGAGTTTGTTAGTCAGCCAGAGAGATCACTATACAGTGTCAGGATGTGCTCCCTCCTTCCAGACAATGTGTGCGATACTGATCTCACAATACTCCATTGATTCTAATGGATTTATTCCTGACTTATATTGGTGTGACATCAGAATGAGGCCCCTACCCCTGGGAGCACACTGAAGTGATTTTGTAGTGTTTGCTTAGCACTGTACTGCACTGCACTAAGTATGGGCCACATTCTGTTCTAATTTACCCCCAAGTAAATCCAAAGTGAATGAAGAAGCCAGCCTTACTTCAGTGATGTAATAATTTTTCCCCCTCAATTTAAAATTCCATAACTTTGAAATCTGAAAACTTACACCAATGTCGCAGTCCATGGCAATTTAAAACAGCCAAGCACTGCAACATTTGTTTCTAGCCCTCACAGCTAAGCGCAGACATTGGGTGGGGGAGGAAGAGGTGGGGGTTAGATTGGGTTAAAAAGGGCCACCCAAACTAACATAGTTTGCGCAGGTGTAGACCTTACACTTACACTTGATCTCAGTGATTGGAAATCAATCTAAACCTGTAATAGTACAGAAGTTCTGCACACACAGACAGTAGGCGTACGTGAATAGAGAAGTATTCAATTCAGATTCAGATCTGGCTGATTCGCAGGACAGTGATTCGATTCGGAGATTCGGATCACTATCCTGAATCAATTCAGCACTGATTCAGAGAGATTCAGTGATTCAGCCATAGACTATAATGGGGAATCACTGAAATACCTATAACTTTGTCATTTTGGGGCAGATTTAGATGAAAACAGTAGGGATGGTAGCCCCTTCTGAGGGCATGATGCCTGTCAAGTTTCAAGGATATAAGTGGAGGGGTTTCTGGGAAACTGCACCTCAAGATGCTGAAAGCAAAACTCGTGTCGTGTGTATGTTAAGGCAGATTTGGATGAAAACAGCAGGGATGGTAGCCCCTTCTGAGGGCATGATGCATGTCAAGTTTCAAGGATATAAGTGCAGGCGTTTCTGGGAAACTGCACCTCAAGGTGCTGACAAGCAAAACTCATGACATGGGTGACAATGTGTGTGTTAAGGCACAGCAGGATGAAAACAGCAGGGATGGTAGCCTGTAACAGGGGGCCTGCCCAGTGCTCAGGTAGTAACAGCTCACAAAAGGAACAGAAAAGCTGCAGACAGAAGCTTATGTGCTGTTTCTATGTCCCTTCCCCAGAGCACTGTGATTGGAGGGGGACTCAGGGAAAGATCACAGTCACTGGCCAGCAACAGATATCAGTCTTTCCCCCTCTCCCCCCGCCTCCCCTCCCTGCAAGACTGCCTTCTGAATTGCCAAATCTCTGAATCTTTTTCTGAATCGATTTGGAGGCTCCAAATCGATTTGGAGGGGGGTGGGGGATTGTCTCCCAATTCAATTCGGATTCGGTGATTCGGCTTCCAAATAGGGCCAAATCTTCTCTGAATTGAATCAGCAACCAAAGCTTTGCACACCCCTAATAGACGAGTCTGAAAATGATAGAACATGGTCTCAGATAGATTGATGTACACACAAATTTAATTGATCTAGGTTAGACCAGTTCATGGAACTTCAGTATAGTTACCTGTGCAGCCCCAGGACTGGGAAAGTCCAGCTGCTGGCCCTAGTCCCAGGGCTGTGCTTTTCATACCTGTCGCCCTGGCACCAGGCTATTTTTAGCCCCCCAGCCCCTTGCCATGCTCCCACACAGACCAGCCAGCCCCTCCACCCCAGAGGTCATTCCCCGTGACAGATTTATCAATGCTGCTGCCAGGAGCTGACCAAAGTATCATTGGGGAGAGGGGTGGGAAGTACCGAGTTGTAGGTTCCCTGGGGAGGATGTTAGGGAGCTAAAAATAGCCCATGGTTCCCCTCAAGCTCCCTCACAGACCCTGTGAGCCCCCGTGATCCTGCTAAACCTCCTGGACTCCACCAACAACCCCATGGACCCCATTTACCCCCGCTGATCCCACCTGCCCCCAGTCCTTCCTGTGGATCCTGCTTGTGCCCTGATTCTTCTGCAGATACTGCCTGTCTGCCCACCCCTTCAATCACTCCTATGGACATGGCCTGCCTCCCTCCACCCCAACAATCGCTCCCATGGATCCTGCCTGCCCTCTCCACCCTCCAATTGTTCCTGTGGACATCATTTGTTCCACACCAATCACTCCTAAAGATCCTGCCTGCCCTCCCCACTTCCCGCCCTTGCTCCTGCAGATGCCACCTGCCCCCCCCAATCACTCCCACAGATAACAGATGCCCCTCACCCTCTGATCACTCCCATATATGCCACCTGCCACCCACATCCACAATCGCTCCTGTGGATCCTGCCTGTTCCCCCCCTCCCCGATTGCTCCCATAGATCCTGCCTGCTTCCCACAACCCCCTGATTGCTTCCATGGATCCTGCCTGTTCCCCCACATCCCTTCCACATACCCCCAATCTCCCCCAAACTTGTTTGCCCTCCAACCACTCCCCCCAGTACCACTCCATCCTGACTTACCTTAGATCAAGTGGCCATTTTTAACATGATCTAACCTGCCCCCCTAACCTCCCTGAATGTCTGCACTTAGCCATAGGTTTTAAAGTATTTTAACTTGACTTGATTAGATTTAGAAAGCCATTCAAAATAAAATAAATATCTGGTCTAAAAACATTTTATGTTTATCTGAGAGAAAATAAACACTGTTAACATCAATGGGAGTTGTTCTCAAGTAACCATTTCAGGCTTAATCTGTTTGTTCATAACCTTACTTTTTAAGAGAGATGAACCCGAACCAAAACTACATCACAAAACACTCTGCCTTTTTACAGAATTACAATCTAAACCCAGATCAAGGTCAGAATTTAATGGATGAAATTTAATAGTGTGAAGTCAAGCACACAGGAATGAATAACAAGAATTGCTACTATACTCTTGGAGGCTTATCAGTTGAAAACAGAAGTAGAGAAACAAAGACATGGGGATTTTAGTCAATAGCACACTGAGTGTGAGCAGTCAGTGCAATGTGACCAGAAAATGGGTAAGTGAACAAGCGCATTGATAATAGTCATAATCAACATTAGCATACTGACCTCTACAATGTCATCATCAAACAAAAGCCAAAAGCCATGACTTTTTACAATGGTAATATAATGCCCACGATTAGGTCCACTAGAAAAAAAATTAAAGCATCAGGTTATATTGTGATATGTTGAAAAATACATATTTTGATTGAAGTTTCTTATGAGATAACCCATATTCCTAAGCAATCGTGCCATCCTCCTTTCCTTTTTATTGAAATGTCTAAAGTGAATCAGTTAACTGAAAATCAAGTGTCTTCTTACTATTGACATTATAGTAGTTTACATATCTACTTCAAAAGTATTTGGCAGTTTGTTGGTGCCAGGCAGAAACTATTGCAAATATTTTCAAAAACCCTCAATAAAATTAAAAAAAAAAAAAAAGCTGGTTGATATTATATATAAAAATAAAAATAATTATCTCCTACTGGATGCCAAAGGCAATAGCTCACATTTCAATTGGTTCACTAAGCTGCTTCCATATTCTCCATGCTTGGCAATCTCAAACTCTTGTAGTCCCCAGTTATAGCTACCATTCTTCAATCAAACCATTCTTCTTTCAGTTCTAACCAATCCTTAAAATTAGCCAGATTTCTAAACCACTTCTAAGCAACTTAGTAAAAAAAAAGTATATATACAATCTCTCCTGCTAAAGTCTGACTATACTGTCTATATGTGTTTCTAACCTTGGTGGCCTTGGGAATGAAGAAACAGAGCCAGATTCTAATTTTAGGTATGCTCACATAAACCTATTTAAATTAGACTGGATTTGTCCCAGCTTAACTAACAAAAATCTGAGTGAAGCCAGAACATTATTCCCTATGGTTTTGGGCTGGCTTGTAATTATATATTTGTATTTTACATCCAGCGTGTTTCATAATAATTCACTTTTACATAACCTAAAATAGACCACAAACATGCAAACAGATTTACCAGGCAGATTCTTATTCCCGTATGTTTTCTCACTGATATCATAGTGACTCAGCACAGATCAAACCCAAAGCCAAAATTCTGGATATGCCTGTACAGTATTGGCAAAGAAATTAGGTGATGCCTTAATACATAATTTCTCCTGTCTCATTTCTATAGACCACAGGTACTAGTTTAAAAAAACCTGCCTTGGAAACAGAATTTTAGTCCTGGGAAACATTTTTCATTTCAGATTCTTTTGTAGAAAAAGCTGGAATCTGGAAGTTTTTAAAAGCCTTATTGGACACATCTACACATGTGCTTTAATGCACAGTAGCATCACTAAAAAAAGCAAGCACTTTCACTACTGCACATTAGGGCATCCTAATGCGCATTTATTTAGTACCTTACATTAGAGGTACTAAATTTAATGTGCAGTAGAAAAAGCACATTAATGAATGTGTAGATGCACCCATTGTATTTAAGTCAATCTTGTGACTTTTTGGAAATTTCTTCTGAAAGCTTCTCATGGACATCACTTTTGATATAATAATAATTTAGAGTATACTCAAATGCACTTTCCCTGCCACAGTGAACAACAACAGCCACCAAGTCATACATGCGATCCAAGTTGATAGCGTCTCCAGATGTGTTGAAGAGACGCAGCTCCAGAGGAAATACCACACGGTAAGACAACTTAGTATATCTGTGTAGCTGTTCCATGTATTTGAACCTCTTGAGGTGCAATGCAAGGATCATTGGCAGCTTTTTTACTCTCATCCTATGAAATTATTAGTAATGGTCTTAGAGTGTATATCATGAAACTAATAATTTCAGTGCTATTCCTACCTCAGAGTCTTACAATTAAACATACACATTCTAAATGAATTTTCTGTGGAATGGTCTTTAGGTCTAAGACATTTGGCTCCACCTCTTAAGTTTCAAAGTCCATTACCTAGGAGAGGTATGGGGAGAATTAAAGACACCTGAGCACAAGGAGGCCTGTATTCAGGATGCCAAACTCAGGCTTGAGATAATCACAAATAAGCGGGAATAAATTGGAGCTGTGTTGTCTCACATCAGAATCACATTGGACTCTATGAAAGCGTGGGCAGAAAGTTACAAGAGCCTCAAGTGCCAGTTGTATCAAAGAGGTGGCAAAAACGATCCAAAGGGAAAAGTGGTATTTCATATCAGAGGCGGTTTACTTGAACAGGGGTTAAATTGCACTGATCTTTACCCACCTTTTCTGGGCCTCTTGTTTACTGCAGCAAGTTTCACAGTAGTATTTCTGTTCACTACATAAAGTTTCTGTGTTGCTGAAATCCCTGTAAACAAAGAGAATGCTTAGATCTTAAGATTTCTTAACATTCTTCCTTTAATGGCATGATTAAACTGATCAAATTAAAAACAAATTAGACACTGCATGAAATTCTGCTTTTGCTGAAGTCAATGGGAGTTTTATCCAATTTATAAAACACGTATATTATAAACTTTTGTCATATACATTATAACATATTGTGATGCAGCAAAGCATTCAGGCCCTGATTTCCAAAGAATCTTCCTGGTCCCTGTGACAGAATCTACAACCTTTCATTAGCTGCCTAAGCTCCCCATGAGTGGGGAGAATTAGGCATTTCAGAATGGGATCCATAAAAAAAGGCACACTGGGTAGGGAGCCACCCAAACTACCAAATATGAAATGGCAAGGACAGGGGGTATATTAAATTCTACCTCTCTCTTGGGCTTTGATTTTTTACTCTAGCCCTCCCAGGAGGTGCCTCCTGTCACTCAGGATGCACAGTCCTGAACCTTCTCCTTGAATTGGGCTCCGAAGTCCCAGGGGTCCCTCCTTACTTTTAAAGACAGGAGGACCCAGTGCCGTTGCTCCCCTTTTGTGCACCTTCACTTCCTGCCACTACATGTTTGCTGAACGCAATCTGGTAGGCATGATCCAAGAATACTTCCTTGATTAATCAGGTGATATATGCAGAAACATACCCAGTTTTTTAATGGAAATGAGTTTTAATGTGAGAGACAGCTTTTGAGCTAACATCAATCCATGTCCAAAAGCACAGCTCTCAATACCTGGGAAACCTTATTGTAAAAAACTGAAGTGCACACCAATGGATTTTAGGCACTTATAGGATCAGGCTGCATCTCAAAAGGAGTTTTGAGGATTGCAGTTGTAGAATTAGCCACCCAAGTACTACTTAAAAGCCCTTTCATGGATCTAGGCCTTAAGGGCACCTATACACATGCTGAATGTCTGCTCTGACGTGAGCTAATTAGCACTCGTCGAAGCAGACTCGAGTCTACTGGAGCATGTTAATTAATGTGCTCCAGCAGCTTCTGTGTTACTTCTACTCAGCGTCCCAGCACTTCAAAATGGCTGTGGTGGCACTTGAACTAAAGTTTATCAAATATGCTTTAGTTCAAGTGCCCCTGCCACCATTCTGAAGCATGGGACACTGAATACATGTGACGCTGTGGGTGCTTTAACTACAGCAGCTCTCAGAACTGCTCTAATTAAAGCGCCCACCCCTCTACCCCAAAGCATGTGTATAGACACCCTAAATGTGTACTTAAATTATATGAGTATACCCTTTGACTACCTGTGTTTAAACATCAGGATGTTCTAAAGTATTTGCTGGACTGGGAGCAAATGGGTAGTATCTCAAGTCAGGGAACTGTGAGAGTATTAAGAGGTTTTTGTTGCCATTATCCTCACTTTCGCTATTATTTTACCAAATGAGGAATAGCTTTTTATGGAATAGTAGCATTTTATGGAAATTCAGCACTTAAATGCAAATATCTCCTTCTGGGATTCCAGCAAGATTTGTATGCATAAGAACTGCAAGAGTGGGGAAAGGTCTTTCCAACCACTGCTATACTATTTTCAAGACACTTTTAACACTTTCTTTTTATCTTTTCATTAAATGGAGAAAGATTTGATTGAATTATATTTATATTATTTTCAGTACTAGTCTTATTTAGAATTTAAAAAAAACCTATCCCATAGTTCTTTTTGTGAGCTCTATATAGCAGTCAGAAAGCTGCCTTCTTAAAACAAGCCTGCAGATGTTATTTATTTAAGTGCCCAATAAAAATAGGAACATATTTAGCGGGAAAAAAAATTTTGTTTAAAAAGACTGTAGTTGAAAGTCAGGATCAAAAGCAGCAAGTCAAATGGTCTTTACAACTCCTTGTGGAAATAAAAATAATTGATGCATAATTTATTTTGTTGTTAGAGGAATTTTTCTCTTGCAGTTTGCCAGATCTTTTACCCAGTGGAAGAGAATTATGTTGCAGACTTGTATTCTTTGGAATGCTTGTAGTGAAAATGTTTAAATCTGAAGAATAGTGAAAAATACATTTTATTGAAATATTGCCCCAGCAATATTTCTATTTTAGTCTGTTTTTCAGCACTGTATTCATATTGTAAAGATGCACCAAAGTGATTATTTTCATAAAAGATAGCCAGGTAAGCATAGTAAAATAATAGGATTTCATGTTCTCTATAGACAAAAACTGCAGTCATTTATGTCCATTTTCTAATGAAGGGTACTGTATAAAAAGGGCAGGAAAAATCCAGATTCCAGCTTTATTTATACTTATTAAACAGAGATTTTTCTTTGTTTAAAAGGCCATCTCAAAAGACAGTTGTTGCTTATTCTCTGCCTTAAACATTTTGTAAGTAGCAATCTGTAGCTACCTTCCAAAAAAGATTTGTATGATTTTGATCCTGTCTTATTCCTGCAATGGAAGATGAAGAGGATTCTTAAATTGTGGTTGTTACCTGTAGATGGCTTTGTACTATGAAGTAGTGTATGTATGGGACTGGCTATTAGGAAGGATCTCTGAAAAAATACTGAATGCTGAAAGAGAACTCGTGGAGGTCAGCTGAGGTCCCAAATGACTGAAAAGGGCAAAGATCTTTAAGAAACAGAAAAAGAAGAATTTTGGGAAATACAGACCAGTCAACCTGACTTCAGTACCTGAAAAGATCATGAAGCAGGTCCTCAAGGAATCTATTATGATGCATGTAAGGGGAACAAGGTGATCCAGAACAGCCAGCAAGGATTAATCAAGAGTAAGTCATGCCTAACTTAATTTCTTTCTATGATAAGGTGATAGGCTATGTGGATGTGGGGAGAACAGTAGATATGATGTATTTTTTTACTTCAGCAAGGCTTTGGACACTTTCTCCCACAACTTCTTCATTAACAAGCTAAGGACAATCCTGCCTTGAGCAGGCAGCTGCACTACATGATCTAATGAGGTTCCCCCCAACCTACTTTGCCATGGTCAGATGATCTTGCAATCTCAGGTCCAAAATGTATCCTTTTTTAAAAAAGAACTGCTAGCATGCTCCCTTGGAAAAGAGAGGCCTTTTTAACCAAGACATTTTTTCTTAGCTTAGCAATCAAACTTATTACACTGATGCTGAGATGTTCTGAAGGTGTGGATTACTACAAAATCCAATGATAGGATGATACTGAGAGGACAACCCTAACTCTAAAGGTTTTTAAAATGAAGTATTAACTGCCAAGATGTTGGCAGTCATTCTCTGTGGAATGGTTCACTTCTGTTTGGTTCAGGAAGCTGTTCACTCCTCACTGCTCTCTTTCTGCTCAATTTTAGTTTGTGTGCAATCTTAGGGAGGTCTCCCTTAAACTCTGAAGATTTTTTTAAAATGTATTTTTAAAATTTCAAAAGTAACTCTAGAGCCTAAAAGTAAATTTTGGTTTGTTGATATCATAGAGTTAAGCAAAACAATGTTTAAATACAGATATTTATTTATACTACTCAGTGCCAAGACTCAAGATATTTAAAATCCACCCAGTACAACCAGCCCTTCTAAACATGGCATTTAAAATGCAACTTTCAGGGATAATAGTTAAAAAGTTGTCAGATTCTGTTTTACTACAGCTTTGCTACAGAATGGGAACTTGCAAATAAACAGGATTACTTTTTGCTTTTAATTGCAGAATAATACACAAAGCAACAGTTTTTTTTAAATCTCTTGCGTCTAGGACCTAGGCTACCTGTTCAACGCAGCACATGCTTCAATTTTGGTACACACATAAGTTTTAACCAGCAAAGTGCTTGAGCACTAAAGTTAAGCAAAAGTCCCAAAGAATCCAACTCTTATTCTGAAGGATCTTTTTCTTCTCTCTCCTGCACTCATGGTAAGATACCAAACAGTAAAGCATATTCTTATTCAGTATTCCACTGTTATGTAAATATCCTATTTAGTCTCTTCTGCTGCTGCTCAGAAATACCTTGTTAAAAATGCTAAATAACTGATGTTTACATAGCTTTTATTTTGCCTCCTAGACTAGCAGAATTTAGCAGAGTTGGGTAGAAATATCAAATGTATTTATGAAACTTCCATTCATTTACCTTAGACAGTGAGTAATTGATGTGTTTTGCTCCACATCAACAGAAAGGTCAAGAAAATCTTCATCTTTGCTACTAACCTGTAACAAAAACTATATATGTAAAATATACACAGTAAGAAGACACATTCTAAATGTATCAGAAAACTAAGTACATAGTTTACACTTGGAACAATTATTACAGATGTAAATAGTAAAAAACTAACTCATCGTAATCTCTTCTGAAAAAGATGTCTGGGTTTATATATGTATATTCACTGTATCGGTAAACCCATTCACCTGGTTGTTATACCAACCAGTTCTGTGTCTGGCACCTTTTCCATACTGCTGATCATAATCAAGTGACCACTACATCTGTTCATTTGACCACTACATCTGCTCACATGGCTTCTCAGCACCATATTTCTGTAGCAGCCAATTTTCAGTTAATTTATGACCTTTAGATGCTCATCTAAAAAGCAGCAAAATGAAAAATAAAAGATTTAAATTTAAAATACAAGTTGTTGCTTCTACATGCTCCTAAACTTCTTTTGTATTGGTCTAGGATTAGTTTTAAAAAACCCACAAAAATAATTTTGTCAGTTTTGACTGAGGCTCAGATTGCATCATAACTTTCTTAAAATTATGGGGGGTGGCAATCTATGTCAAGGAGCACTACACATCTTC